CTCCTCCTGAGTGTTTGTTTGTTTGCTTTTTTCCAAGACAAGCTCTTGCTCTGTCACTCAGGCTAGAGTGGAGCAATTACACTTTTTTTGTGTGTCTTTTGTTTTTTCTTCCTTTTTGTGGAGAATGGGGTCTCGCTATATTGCCCAGGCAGGTCTCGAACTCCTGGGCTCAAGCTATCCTCCCACCTCTGCCTCCCTGAGAGCTGGGATTACAGGCGTGAGCCACCACGCCCGGCTGAGTGGAGCAATTACGTAGTGGAGCAATCATAGCTCCTGGGCTCAAGGGATCCTCCTGCCTCTGCTCCACCCAAGCACTGGGATTACAGGCGTGAACCACCATGCCCAGCTGGGTTTTTGAATTTTTTTATTTTTATTTTTATTTTAAAATTTTAAATAGAGGTGGGGTTTTGTCATATTGGCCAGGCTTCTCTCGAACTCCTGGCCTCATGTGATCCACCCTCCTTGGTCTCCCAAAGTGGTAGAATTACAGGCGTGAGCCACCGCGCCTGGCCAGAAATAGTTTTTAAACTTTTAGCAATATTACAAATTTTTCCTCCGGATAAGTTATGTTAATGTGTACCCAGACCTGTGAATAACAGTGTTAATTTCCTTGTTTCCTCATCCACACAAGCTGTTGTCTTTTTTTCATCTTGCTAATTGGATAGACAAAGACATTTCATTGTTTTAATTTGCATTTCTTTTTTTCACTAGTGAAGTTGAAAAGTTTTTATGTTTATGATAACAATAATTCTGCTGCACTGATATTTTTCTTATTTTATTTTATTGTATCATTTTAACTTTTATTTATTTATTTATTCTTGAGGACAGAGTTTCTGTTTGTCACCAAGGCTGAAGTGCAGAGGCACAATCCCGGCTCATTGCAACTTCCACTTCTTGGGTTCAAGCGATTCTACTGCCTCAGTCTCCCGAGTAGCTGAGATTACAGGTGCGCGCCCCCATGCCCAACTAATTGTTTTCATATTTTTAGTAGACCCAGGGTTTCACCATGTTGGTCAGGCTGGTCTCGAACTCCTGACCTCAAGTGATCTGCTCGCCTTGGCCTCCCAAAGTGCTGAGATTACAGGCATGAGCACCTGCACTCAGTCCTTAACATTTATTTTAAATTCAGGGGTACATGTGCAGGATGTACAGGTTTGTTACATAGGTAAATGAGTGTCACGGGGGCCCGTTGTACAGATTGTTTAATCATCCAGGTGTTAAGCCTAGTATCCATTCATTATTTTTGCTGATTCTCTCCCACCTCCTTTTCTCATTTTATGGATTAGAAAACTAAAGACTGGAGAAACAATTTCTCCAGGACCCCACAGCCGGTAAGTGATTGAGTTAGGATTTTAGTCTTAAGTCCATGACTGCAGAACCAGTTCTATACTACCTAGCTATGTTGCCTTGATTTGGTTTTCTTTTTTCTTTCTTTTTTTTTTTTTAAACGGAGTCTCTCTCTGTCACCCACGCTGGAGAACAGTGGCGCGATCTCAGCTCACTGCAACCTCCACCTCCCGGGTTCAAGTAATTCTCCTGCCTCAGCCCCCTGAGTAGCTGGGATTACAGGCATGTACCACCACACCCGGCTGATTTTTGTATTTTAGTAGAGATGGGTTTTCACCATGTTGGCCAGCCTGGTCTCAAATTCCTGACCTCAAAGGATCCACCCGGCCACCGCACTTGGCCGATTTTGATTTTCTGATTTGGGCTCAAAGTCCAGAATTACAGTGGCTTTGCTTATAGAATCTTTTTTTTCTTTTATTTTTTGTTTGAGACAGAGTCTCATTCTGTTGCCCAGGCTGGAGTGCGGTGGCATAATCTCGGCTCAGGGCAAACTCTGCCTCCCAGGGTCAAGCGATTCTCCTGCCTCAGTCTCCCGGGTAGCTGGGATTACAAGTGTCTGCCACCACGCCCCACTAAGTTTTGTATTTTTAGTAGAGATATGGTTTCACCATGTTGGTCAGGCTGGTCTTGAACTCCTGACCTCAGGAGTTCACGTCGGCCTCCCAAAGTGCTGGGATTACACGCGTGAGCCACCGCACCTGGCCTGCTTATAGAATCTTTAAAAACAATAAAATTCAATCCTGTGATTTCTTAGGTAAGCAAAGTGAGGCCCAAATAGGTTAGCCCTGTATGACATATCAGACCATTCCAATTCTTCACTTTGAAAAATTTCCATGTCTGAGTATATATCATAAAAGACTGAGTGAATTGCCTAAGATTACATTGTTTATTTATTTATTTATTTATTTATGAGCTGGAGTTTCACTCTTGTTGCCCAGGCTGGAGTACCATGGTGCGATCTCAGCTCGCTGCAACCTCTGCCTCCTGGGTTCAAGCGATTATCCTGCCTCAGCCTCCTGAGTAGCTGGGATTACAAGCATGTGCCACCACTCCAGGCTAATTTTGTATTTTTAGTCGAGACGGAGTTTCAGTATATTGGTCAGGCTGGTGTCAAACTCCTGACCTCAGGTGATCTGCCCACCTCAGCCTCCCAAAGTGCTGGGATTACAGGTGTGAGCCACCGCGCCTGGCCTATGATTACATCATAATTGGAGATGCTGTGCTTAACTCAGATCCCCTGACTGATTTGGTGCTTTTTCTGCTAGGCAACTGCACATTCTCTATTACTTCTTTTTTCCTCCATGATCAAACTACCTCTCTCCCTACTTTTTTTTTTCTTTTTCTTTTTCTCTTAGCTGTGCTCCGATGAACCTTTTTATTTTCCCTTTAGGAACTGGGTCTTGCTATAGTACCCAGGTTGGCGTCGCACTCCTGAGCTCAAGGGATCCTCCCACCTCAGGCTTCCAAGCGGCTGGGACTACAGGCACAAGCCACTGCACCTGATCAACCTCCTCTTTAATTAATAATAATGACGATAATAATAATAGCTAACTTTTATTGAGTGCTTTCCATTCGGCAGACATTGTCCTGAGTGTCATATATACATTATTTTATGAGTTGCCCTCAGCACCTTAACAAAGAATGTTTTATTCCCACTTTACACTTGAGTGGCTTGCTCATGGTCACATAACTAATCAGTGGTGGAACCAGAATTTGAACCAGTTAGTCTGATTTCTGACCTTAAGTCAGGAAAATCAAATAAAGAAAACCCAAATGCAACCTACTCTTATTGTTGAAAAAAGGTTAAGATTGTAGATTAATTTAAAAGTGTTAGATAAGATACAAATAGGAGATAAGAGAAGTGGGACCTGGGAGTGGTGGCGCATGCCTGTAGTTCTAGTTACTTGGAGGCCGAGGCAGAAGATTCCCTTGATCCAGTAATTCAAGGCCAGCCTGGGCAACATAGTGAGACACTCCCTAAACCTAGTCTCTAACTCTAAAAAAAAAAAAAGGAATGAGGAAAACCTCACTATATAAAAGAGTGAGACCTCTAGAAATAGCAACCAATTAATTCCTTAATTTATTATTTGCACAGATATTTATCGAATGTCTACTACCTGCTGGACACTTTCCTCACCAGTGGAGATACTTTGGGGAAAAAAGACACACTGAAGATACTTAGGCAAAGAGACGCAGTTCTGATCCTCAAGGCACGAGTTGTCTGAAAGGGAGGGAGGCACACTGTAAAATGCACTGCAAAAACTGTAATGGAGGGCAGGGCGCGGTGGCTCACACCTATAATCCCAGCACTTTGGGAGGCTGAGGTGGGCGGATCACCTGAGGTCGGGAGTTTGAGACCAGCCTGACCAACATGGAGAAACCCCATCTCTACTAAAAATACAAAATTAGGCGGGCATGGTGGCACATGCCTGTAATCCCAGTTACTAGGGAGGCTGAGGCAGGAGAATCGCTTGAACCTGGGAGGCGGAGGTTGTGGTGAGCTGAGATAGCGCCACTGCACTCCAGCTTGAGCGACAAAAGCGAAACTCCATCTCAAAAAAACAAACAAACAAAAAACTGTAATGGATGCCCAAGTATGGCTGAGTGGGAGAAAGAAGTATCTCAATCTGTTTTGGTGAGTCGAAATTGTGGAAGTAGAGGTGACCTTTGCACTTGGTCTGTGTAAAGGCTCTGAGAAGAAATCAGCTCACAGAACTACAAATAGGTCAATATAATTAGAGCCTCCACACTAAGGATGGTGGGTGGTGAGAAATAAGGCTGGTGGCTGGGTGTGGTGGCTCATGCCTATAATCCCAGCACTTTGGGAGACCGAGGTGGGAAGACTGCTTGAGGCCAGGAGTTCAAGACCAGTCTGGACAACATGGCAAGGCCCCATCTCTATAAAAAATAAAACAATTAGCTGGGAGTGGTGCCCTACGCCTGTAGTCTCAACTACTCCAGAGCCTAAGGTGGGATGGTTTCTTGAGCCCAGGGAGTGGAGACTTGCAGTGAGCCAAGATCAGGCCACTGCACTCCAGCTTGGGCGACAGAACAAGACCCTGTTTCGAAAATAAATAAATACATAAATAAAAATAAAATAAAATCATGAAATCTACTTGGGTATTTGTCTAATACAGGGGTGTCCAATCTTTTGGCTTCCCTGGGTCACACTGGAAGAAGAGGAATTGTCTTGGGCCACACGTAAAATATACGAACACTAATGATGTTAGCTAACACTAATGATAGCTGATGAACTAAAAAAAAAAAATCACAAGAAAGATTCGTAATGTTTTACAAAAGTTTATGACTTTGTGTGAGGCTGCATTCAAAGCCATCATGTGCCTCATGCGACCCTCTGCATTGGTCTGTGCAGATGATGAATTATAAGTCTATGAATTATTCACTGCTCTGTTCCTAGCACCTATCTCAGCACCTTGCACATAATAGATGCTTAGTAACTGTTTGTTAAATGAATAAATGCATGTCTCCTTTTCACTCTGTCTACTGCCGACAACCTCACATTGTTGTAGAGTTTATGTCCATGCATTGGTAATCTTTATTCTGTGAACTTTTTCCTGGAATAGTAGAGCAAGAGAAGAGAAAAAAAAAATTCCGTCTTCACATCCAATGGCCTTTGAGGAGCTGGGAAGAGAGCAATTCACACTTGATTATCTTACATCAGATAAATTAGCAGCCCCTGAATTGTTGGGCAGTCTGGCAGTGGAGCTCTCCCCAGCCTGATAGCCACTCTAGAGGCCATGCTTCGATTCTTGCCAGATTTGGCTTTCAGCTTCCTGTTAACTCTGGCTTTTGGCCAGGCAGTCCAATTTCAAGAATATGTCTTTCTCCAATTTATGGGCTTAGATAAGGCGCCTTCACCCCAGAAGTTCCAACCTGTGCCTTATATCCTGAAGAAAATTTTCCAGGATCGCGAGGCAGCAGCGACCACTGGGGTCTCCCGAGACTTATGCTACGTAAAGGAGCTGGGCGTCCGTGGGAATGTACTTCGCTTTCTCCCAGACCAAGGTAAGGAAATAGGACTGTTATCCAGAAAAACATCTGGAACTGGGTGGTGTGAAGAAAGGACAATAGGAAATGGCAATTACTAATGTGGCCTTGTGCTGGTATTTTTCATATTTTATCTCATTTAATTCCAGCCCACGATCCTGAGAGGAAGTTAGATATTCTTATCAAGTTTCTAACAGTAAGGAAATGAGGCTCAGACAGTAGGTAACCTGTAATCTATTCAAGATCATACAGCTAGTGTGTGAGAAAAAAGTCAGAATTTGAAACAGGTTTTTGTTTTTTGAATCAACTGCTTTGTGCTTCAGTTGAGATGAAAGAGGTGAGGGAGGAATCGGAGCTCAGTGTCCCACTCTTCAGCCCATATATACACATCCTGCCATCTTCTGTGTGGCAAGCAGGGTATAAAAATTTTGAGGTTGGTTTGCCCAGGACTCCTGCTTCCCTTATTTGCACCTCCTGGCTACTCTTGTTGGGTGGCAAAGGTTATTCTAGATTTGTGAATAGAGAGTAATAATATATACAGTTGTCATATCCTTTTTTAAAAGGATCCCAGGGAGTGGCATCCAATACTTTCCCAAACTGACCACCCACCAAATAACTTAGGTCTTCCATTAACAGTAGATCCTCCAACTCCATTCCTGCCCCTTGTTCTCCCCACCCAATTCTTATTCAAAGTCTGAAATGGGTGTTGAGAATCTGCATGTCTATACAACCTCCCGGGTGTTTCAGATGCAGAATTTAGAGCCTGGGTTAGTTTTACAGCAACTGGAGAGGAGATTTGAATATTTATTTGTCCAAGAAGCACTTATTGGATACCTATGGTGAGCAGGAACTGTGTATGGCCTTGAGAATACAAGATAAGTTTTGCTTTTTTTTTTTTTTTTGAGAGTCTCCCTCTGTCTTCCAGGCTGGAGTAGAGTGGCACGATCTCAGCTCACTGCAACCTCCGCTTCCTGGCTTCAAATGATTCTTCTGCCTCAGCTTCCCAAGTGGCTGGGATTACAGACATGTGCCACCACACCCAGCTAAATTTTTAGTAGAGACAGGGTTTCACTATATGTTGGCCAAGCTGGTCTCGAACTCCTGACTTCAGGTGATCTGCCTGCCTCAGCCTCCCAAAGTGCTGGGATTACAGGTGTGAGCCATTGCACCCAGCCCAGAATTACCTTTTTAAAATGCATATTGAGTCATACTGCTCCTCCACGTAAAATTCTCGTCTGCAGAATTCTGTAGGAGTTGACCCACCGTGCCCTGCCTGTTCTGACGCTGCTGCTTACTTCCCCAGTCTCACCTTTTACAACCTCTGCTTGCACACTCAACTCTAAGCTCATAGTCTATTCCTCCTAGAGCATGCATTCTTGGCTCATCTTCAAACGTGCTGTATCCAGGCTACCTGAAGTACTCCCTCAGAATTTGCCTGGTCAAGTACTTCAGGCTTTTCTTCTTCTTCCTCTTCCTCTCTTTTTTTTTCCCCTTGAGACAGGTCTTGCTGTGTCACCCAGGCTGGAGTGCAGTGGCACAATCTCAGCTCACTGCAGCCTCCACCTCCTGGGCTCAAGTGATCTTCCCACCTCAGTTTACCGAGTAGAGTAGTTGGGACTACAGGCTACAGGTGCGCACAACCACGCCAGGCTGATTTTTGTATTTTTTTTTTTTTTATAGCGATGAGGTCTCGCCGTGAGGCTGGTCTCTAACTTCTGAGCTCAGGCAATGGCCTGCCTTGACCTCCCGAAGTGCTGGGATTACAGGCATGAGCCACCTTGCCCAGCCAAATTTTGTTACGTTTTGAATGATGCTTGAGAATGAAGAGGCATGGTGGTGGGGCGCCTAAGAGTGTTTGGGTTTGAGTTGCAATTTCTCCCCAAGCTGAATGACTTTAGAAAATACCTATTTAAGGCTGGGCGCGGTGGCTCACACCTGTAATCCCAGCACTTTGGGAGGCTGAGGCAGGCAGATCATGAGGCCAGGAGTTTGAGACCAGCCTAGCCAACATGGTAAGCTCTCCCGCCCGCCACCCCCACCCCTGTCTCTACTAAACATACAAAAAAAAAAATTAGCCAGGTGTGGTGGCGAGCACCTGTAATTCCAGCTGAGGCAGGAAAATCCATTGAACACCCAGGAGGCGGAGGTTGCAGTGAGCCAAGATCGCACAACTGCACTCCAGCCTAGGTGACAGAGCAAGGCTCCGTCTCAGGGGGGAAAAAAAAAACAGAAAATACTTACTTAAGCGTGAAGTCATCCTACCAAACAAAATGATGGCGTTAGGCCAAATAAGTTATTTGTGGAAAGGGAAAAATTGAAGATGCAAAAAATAAAATAGTAAAAGTATACTTGTTGGGTCTTTTCCTAGAGGAATAGGTAAAATTTGAAAATTCAGGCAGGAAAGTTAGCTTAGAAAACGGAGAGCACACTTGTAACTTCAGAAGAAGGGCATCCATGGACAAAAATCAAAGAATCACATTGTACTTCAATATGAGGAGAGGCTGGAGCAGTGGCTCATGACTGTAATCTCAGCACTTTGAGAGGTGGGAGGATCCTGTGACCTCAGGAGAGCAACATAGGGAGACCCTATCTCTACAAAAACTTAAAAAAAAAATTGGCTGGGCGTGGTGGCTCACGCCTGTAATCCCAGCACTTTGGGAAGCCAAGGTGGGCAGATCACCTGAGGTCAGGAGTTTGAGACCAGCCTGGCCAACATGGTGAAACCCCGTCTCTACTAAAAATGCAATTAGCCGGACATGGTGTGCTCCTATAATCCCAGCTACTCCAGAGGGTGATGCAGGAGAATTGCTTGAACCCGAGAGGCTGAGGTTGCCATGAACTGAGATTAAGCCACTGCACTCTAGCCTGGGTGACAAAGCAAGACTCCGTCTCGGAAAAAAAAAAGTAAAGCCAATCTGAATGATTGGACTTTGGCCAACAACACCTGACAGTCTAGGTTACTCTTTTTTTTTTTTTTTTTTTTAATTGAGACGGAGTTTTGCTCTTGTTGCCCAGGCTGGAGTACACTCGTGTGATATCAGCTCACCACAACCTCTGCCTCCCAAATTCAAGCGATTCTCCTGCCTCAGCCTCCTGAGTAGCTGGGATTACAGGCATGTGCCACCATGCCTGGCTAATTTTTTTGTATTTTTAGTAGAGATAGGGTTTCTCCATGTTGGTCAGTCTGGTCTCCTGACCTCAGGTTATCTGCCCGTCTGGGCCTCCCAAAGTGCTGGGATTACAGGTGTGAGCCACCGCGCCTGGCCCAGTCTATTGATTTTTTCTCAGAATAATGGTTTAAGTGCCTGAAGTAAAATATTTAGGATTTCAAAAGAAACCAATTAAGTATTGAAATACAGTTTTAAAATATTTTTTAAACAAATGTATATATAGTAATGTATATAATGCTTTATCAATGTAATACATAACAAGATCTAGGGAGGTGACTATACGTATAGCTACCATAAATTTCAGTATAGTGTTAGCATAAGTGTTTTTTTTTTTTTTCTTTTCCTTTCTTTATTTATTTTTTGTAGAGATGGAGTCTCACTATGTTGCCCAGGATGGTCTCAAACTCCTAGCCTCAAGCAAATCTCCCATCTCAGCCTCCCAGTGTGCTGGGATTACAGGCATAAGCCACTTGCCTGGCCTCCATAAATGTTTTCAGTTATTTGCAACAACTAAATGTATGAACACACCTATGATTATTAGTGATAACAATGTCATAGGCCCTGATGATATTACTGGGATTTGTTGCCTATATTCATAATGAAGGAAATGCTAAATTTCCTTTAGTTTAGTGGAAATAATGATGTAATTATTTTTCCCATCTAAGTTCGTGCACCCTCTACATTTCATCCAGGAATCTCTGGGAACCTGTGGATGTGAAGATAAGAACCTCTGGCTTTCAGGAATAGAGAAACAAACCCTACCACATAATAGGGCTTGGGCTCTTCCCTGCCCTTATATTGTATATGTGGATATCTGACATTTATATCATATAGGTGGATATGAACTAAAAGGTATTATTATGACTCTGACATGTCTCTTTTCCCATCTAGGTTTCTTTCTTTACCCAAAGAAATTTTCCCAAGCTTCCTCCTGCCTGCAAAAGCTGCTCTACTTTAACCTGTCTGCCATCAAAGAAAGAGAACAGTTGACACTGGCCCAGCTGGGCCTGGACTTGGGGCCCAATTCTTACTATAACCTGGGACCAGAGCTGGAACTGGCTCTGTTCCTGGTTCAAGAGCCTCCTGTGTGGGGCCAGACCACCCCTAAGCCAGGTAAAATGTTTGTGTTGCGGTCAGTCCCATGGCCACAAGGTGCTGTTCACTTCAACCTGCTGGATGTAGCTAAGGATTGGAATGACAACCCCCAGAAAAACTTTGGGTTATTCCTGGAGATACTGGTCAAAGAAGACAGAGACTCTGGGGTGAATTTTCAGCCTGAGGACACCTGTGCCAGACTGAGACGCTCCCTTCATGCTTCCCTGCTGGTGGTGGCCCTCAACCCTGATGAGTGCCCCCCTTCTCGGAAAAGGAGAGCAGCCATCCCTGTCCCCAAGGTTTCTTGTAAGAACCTCTGCCACCGTCACCAGCTGTTCATTAACTTCCAGGACCTGGGTTGGCACAAGTGGATCATTGCCCCCAAGGGGTTCATGGCAAATTACTGCCACGGAGAGTGTCCCTTCTCACTGACCATCTCTCTCAACAGCTCCAATTATGCTTTCATGCAAGCCCTGATGCATGCAGTTGACCCAGAGATCCCCCAGGCTGTGTGTGTCCCCACCAAGCTGTCTCCCATTTCCATGCTTTACCAGGACAATAATGACAATGTCATTCTACGACATTATGAAGACATGGTAGTCGATGAATGTGGGTGTGGGTAGGATGGCAGAAATGGGAATAGAAGGAGTGTTCTTAGGATAAATCTTCTAATAAAACTACCTATCTGGTTTATGACCACTTAGATCGGAAATGTCAATATATCTGTGTTTATAATTTGTATTCCTGAAAAACCCAGCATAATTAATGATGCCCATACTTGCATGTGCGTGCACACAGACACACACACACATACACACACACACACACACACACTGGAGCCCTAATAATCATGGTTAATTTCTGTTCTAACATACTCATTATGCATATGACAGTATGGACACTGGCATTTACTGATGGCCAATTATGGGCAGGCATTATCCTATGTGTTACTTTACAAACATTTCACTGTTGTTTGAGGGAAGCATTGTTGTTTATGCTTTATAGACAAAGAAGCTGAGGTTTAGAGAAGCTAACAAATTTTCCTAAGGTCAGCAGCTATCCCTGGCTCTCCCTGGCAGATCTGATATGCTAATAGTGTTACATTAAAAAGTTTTTAGACCGGGCGCGGTGGCTCATGCCTGTAATCCCAACACTTTGAGAGGCTGAGGCAGGTGGATCATGAGGGCAGGAGATCGAGACCATCTTGGCCAACATGGTGAAACCCCGTTTCTACCAAAATACAAAAAATTAGCCGGGTGTGGTGGTGCTTGCCTGTAGTCCCAGCTACTTGGGAGGCAGAGGCAGGGGAATCGCTTGAACCCTGGAGACAGGTTGCAGTGAGCTGAGATCGTGCCAGTGCACTCCAGCCTGGCTACAGAGCAATACTCCATGTCAAAATAATAATAATAATAATTTTTTTAAAGGAAGCCTCGGCCTCCCAAAGTGCTGGGATTGCAGGTGAAAGCCACTGCGCCCAGCCCTAGTTAGACCAGCGCCTTCTGGTCTTTTATTGATGTTCCATTTGATTCCTATAGTGCAGATCACATTGTACATACAATTTTATTTTATTTTATTTTATTTTATTTTGAGGGCTGGGCACGATGGCTCATGCTGTAATCCCAGCACTTTGGGAGGCTGAGGTGGGCAGATCACCTGAGGTCGGGAGATCGAGACCATCCTGGCTAACTTGGTGAAACCCTGTCTCTACTAAAAATACAAAAAATTAGCTGGGTGTGGTGGCACATGCCTATAACCTCAGCTACTTGGGAGGCTGAGGCAGGAGAATCACTTGAACCTGGGAGGTAGAGGTTGTGGTGAGCTGAGATCGTGCCATTGCACTCCAGCCTGGGCAACAAGAGTGAAACTCTGTCTCAAAAAAAAAAAAAAAGAAAAATTTTGAGACAGGGTTTCACTTTGTCACCCAGGCTGATGTGTAGCGGCACCATCTCAGCTGTCTGCAGCCTCTACCCACTGGGTTCAGTCGATTATCCTGCCTCAGCCTCCCGAGTAGCTGGCATTATAGGCACAGGCCACCATGCCCAGCTAAGTTTTTTGTTTGTTTGAGATGGAGTTTTGCTCACATTATTCTATTTCTCTACTAGAATCTTCATGTTCGTCAGACCAGTCTACAATAGGCAGAGTATGCACCCTGTAGGCCAAGTTATTGGCTATAATTTGGGCAGATTGGGGCAAGATAGGACTCTTTATTCCAAAATTTAAGTAAATTAAGCATGTGTGTACAGCACAGCTATTTCAGAACATTTTAAGACTCATGATTTTATTTAATGGCAGTAATTTTTACCATCAATTTAACTTATTTCTATTCAATTTCACATTTACTGAATGCCTTTGTTGGGGGAGATTTCTTTCTTTACCCATTGCTAAATTCATGACTGAGGCACATATAACATGAGAAAAGAAGGATTGGTCGGGCACGGTGGCTCACACCTGTAATCTCAGCACTTTGGGAGGCCGAGGTGGGCAGATCACGAGGTCAGGAACTGAGACCATCCTGGTCAACATGGTGAAACCCCGTCTCCACTAAAAATACAAAAATGAGCCAGGTATGGTGGCGTGCGCCTGTAGTCCCAGCTACTCAGGAGGCTGAGGCAGGAGAATGGTGTGAACCCGGGAGGCGGAGGTACTGCGGTGAGTGGAGATTGCACCACTCACTCCAACCTGGTGACAGAGCGAGACTCCGTCTCAAAAAAAAGAAAGAAAAAAAAAAGGATTAACAAGAGAAAAGCAATCAAATTTATTTAAGTTTTAGTGAAAAGAGAATCTTCAGAAATGAAGACTCAACGAAACAGGGAAACTTGTGCTAAGTTTGATAAAGGGGTGGACAGTTGTGCAGAAGTATGATTGGACAAAGGGAGTCTGATCTAATGGTAATATACTGGGAATGGCTGGGCACTGTTGTGTGAGCCTGTAGTCCTTGCTGCTTGGGGGGCCAAGACATGAGGGTCACTTTAATCCAGGAGTTCAAGACCAGCTTGACCAGCTTGGGCAACGTGGTAAGACCCCCACCTCCAAAAACAGAAAAACAAACAAACAAAGGAACTGGAGAACTTAGCAAGGCCTGTTTATTCAGATTCTTCTTAGTGCCTCTGTGTCTTTAAGGATAAAGATGTTCCTGGCCGGGCGCGGTGGCTCAAGCCTGTAATCCCAGCACTTTGGGAGGCCGAGGCGGGTGGATCACGAGGTCAGGAGATCGAGACTATCCTGGCTAACATGGTGAAACACCGTCTCTACTAAAAATACAAAAAACTAGCCGGGCGTGGTGGCGGGCGCCTGTAGTCCCAGCTACTTGGGAGGCTGAGGCGGGAGAATGGCGTGAACCCGGGAGGCGGAGCTTGCAGTGAGCCGAGATCACGCCACTGCACTCCAGCCTGGGAGACACAGCGAGACTCCGTCTCAAAAAAAAAAAAAAACAAAAACAAAAACAAACAAACAAACAAACAAAAAAAAGGATAAAGATGTTCCTTTTCTTTGGGAATAGAGAGGATACATCTAGAATGAAGGTTTTGTGCAGAGGAAGGGCAGAGCATTCTTTCATGGCCTGCTTTAAGAAGAAGGGCAGGAGAAAGTGCAAGAGACTTTCAGGCTTCTGTTTCCTCAAATACCAAGGTGCTGTATTTTGGGGTAGCATGTCCTGAGCCCCATTACCTTGAAACGGAGAAAAAAAATAAGATACAGATTCTGCCTTTGAGTAGTAGTTTATCGTAAAATTGTACTTTCTCAAATCAGACTGGGTTTAATTTTTGTTTCTTTTTTTGTTTTCTTTTCTTTCTTTTTTTTTTGGGGGGGAGGACGGCGTCGCTCTGTTGCTCAGGCTGGGGTGCAGTGGCATGATCTCAGCTCACTGCAACCTCCACCTCCCGGGTTCAAGTGATTCTCCTGTGTCAGCCTCCTGAGTAGCTGAGATTACAGGCTCATGCCACCACGCCCAGCTAATTTTTCTATTTTTATTAGAGATGGGGTTTCACCGTGTTGGTCAGGCTGGTCTCGAACTCCTGACCTCGTGATCCACCCACATTGGCCTCCCAAAGTGCTGGGATTACAAGTGTGAGCCACCGCACCTGGCAATTTTTCTTTTAAAATAAAACAATCTTTGCTCCTTATCCACTCCTGCTGCTTCACTTGACTAGCCTAAAATAAATAAATAAATAAATAAATAAATAAATAAATAAATAAATAAATAAATAAAACCAGGCTCAGTGACGTGCACTCAGCTACTCAGGAGACTGACAGGGGAGAATCACTTAATGCCAGGAGCTCCACTCCATCCTAGGCAACATAGCAAGAAATTAAAATCCCTAAAAAATTTAAAATGAAGGGATTCATTTTTATGAGATGAAGGGACTCATATAGGCTCACGCCTATAATCCCAGCAGTTTGGGAGGCCGACGTGGGCAGTTCACTTGAGGTCAGGAGTTCGAGACCAGTCTGGGCAACATAGTAAAACCCCATCTCTACCCAAAAAAAAAAAAAAAAGAAAGAAAGAAAGAAAAGAAAAAAAAAATTGCTGGGTGTGGTAAAGCGGGCCTGTGGTCCCCAGCTATTTGGGAGGCTGAGGCGGGAGCATTACTTGAGCCTAGGCAGCGGAGGTTGCAGTGAGCTAAGATCACGCCACTGCACTCCAACTTGGGTGACAGAGTGACGCCCTATCTCAAAATAATAATAATTAAAAATGAAAAAATTAAAATTACATAAAAAAGCAATGGAGCATAAACATCAGTACACCAGGGGTTGTTGTAGGATTGTTTTCTCAACATTTTATTGTCTCCTCAAAATGATGTTGAACACTTCAACTCTTATCGCAGTGGTTTCTGTGCTTTGCTTTTGAGTGGGATATTTGGAGCATGTGTCTTTAAAGATCTGAATCTGTTGACTTTTGACAAGAATTTTGACTGAAAACAGGCCCCTGTTTCAACAGGAAAAGGGTATGTTCTGTTGTTTTTTTCCACTTTTTGTAGGGTAGAAATCATGGTCAGTGATTGCATAGGCCGAGATTTTCTCCTGGACCAAACTTTGGTCGGGCTCTTCTGAGCTTGCTTTTCTACTCAGCCTGACCTTGAGCTTTTTTGTTCAGTTCTGGCAAGAATTCCCAACCTGGATATAAGATCACCGTCATTAAGCGACCAGATTCCTCATCCTGCATTGCCCCCAGGTGATGTCTGATCACCTTGGCCTGTCTTCAGCAAGAATTCTGTTAGGTTGATTTAGCCAGACTCCCCCTTTACTCCTAATGTTTTTTCATAGTAATTTTCCATCAGAGATAAAAGTTTTCCGTCAGAGACTGGAAAATTACTTGTCCTTGGCACTTCATACTTTCATACCCATTTTTCCTTGTTATATTTGGAATTAAGCCCATTCTAAACTAGGCCCCTTTTCCCCTATTGCAATTGTCCTGAATAAAATCTATTTTGACCACTTCAGCTACTGTTTAGCTCTGGGTTTTCTTCAATACATGCAAACGTATATGCATTCCTTTAGGTCCGGGCACAGCGGCTCATGCCTGTAATCCCAGCACTTTGAAAGGCTGAGGCACAAGGATCTCTTGCGCCCAGGAGTTTGAGACTAGCCTGGGCAACACAGGGAGATCCCATCTCTACCAAAAAAAAAGAAATTAGTCGGGTGTGGTGGCAGGCCGTGTAGTCCTAGGCTGCAGCCGCATCTGAGATGGTAGGATCACTTGAGCCTGGGAGTCGAAGGCTGCA